TGTCTCATTGAGAATGAGGCCACGTTGACGTAGCCAGTCACTGAGCTTTGTGACTGCTGTGGAGAGATTAGCTGAGATGACATCCGTTGACGTGTGGCTGAATGTTTCAAGTTTGTTGCCCGAAATTTTTGCACACTTCCGGCCCAACATTCCGGCTGGTGCACAGCCCGAATAACGATAACCAGCTAAATGTCGTTGAGTCGGATGACGCGAAGCAGGTGCGTCGCAAGGTTCACGATAATTATACATGTAGCTACCCGGCTCGAGGCATGGACTACATACATGTATATTATCACGGCTGCTGCCCTACACCGCACTGCTGAACTGATTGCGTACCAGCAGTTGATCCTGACTGTTAACCGCCAGTTCTTCCCAAGCGCGTGGCTAGAGTACGACCGCCAGCTGCGGATGCTTGTGGCCCAGTAACCAGGCACGAAGAGGTTGGACACCATCGACGTGAACCAAAGGCAGATAGCTGTCACAGGCCATGCACACCCAAAATGCGCTCAATGTAATACCGGCCATCCAGGGGCGGTTTGTGTCCTTTTTGCCCCCAAGCCAGCGGCATTTACCTCCAGTGGTCGCAACCATACCAGCGACGGCCAAGAAATCTGCCGCAACTTCAATGGAGGTCGCTGTTCTTCGTCGTCGTGCCGCTTCTCCCACACCTGCAGCCAGTGTGGCAAGGACCACCCATGCATCATGTGCAACCAGCAGCAGCGCGGAGCCAATCGGCCACCCCGCCGCTCCTAGCAGAATGGCTACTGAATCGCTTGACTCGGTACGTAGCTTCTTTCCTATACACTCTGCAGACACCACACTGCTAGCTGACCACTTTGCCCGCCTGTTACGTAACCACTCAGATCAATCATGTGTTGCGTATGTTCTCCATGGCCTGCGCCATGGCTTTACTCTTGGATCTGCCGGCCAACACGACATTTCGGTTTTCTCTAATAATCTGCCCTCGGCTTTCACTCACTCGGCATTTATATTCGAGCAATTAGCTGCTTCCTGCGCCTGCAGCGAGACCACAGGCCCATTTCCGTCACCTCCATTTCAGTTCATGCGCCGCTCTGGTATTGGTGCCATCCCCAAAAAGAACGGCAAGCTGCGAATGATCCACCATCTGTCTAGTCCGGAATGCACCGGCGCGAACGACAGCATTCCTGCCAAGCCGCTCTCTCTGCACTACGCGAGCATTGACAACGCGATCAACATCATCATGCCCACAGCCTGTGTATTTGTCCAAGCTCGATGTACGCAGTGCATTTCGGCAGATCCCAGTCCGCCGTCAGGACTTCGCTGGGAAGGCTCCTACTACTACGAGGGCTTTCTGCCTTTCGGCCTCCGCTCCAGCCCAGCCGTCTTTGACTCAGTAGCCACAGCAGTCAACTTGATCATGCAGCACGAGTTTGCTATAGATCACCGGCTTCATTACCTCGATGACTTTCTCGATATCTCCACTGGTTTGGCTGCAGCCAACCAGCAACTCACCATCCCCCTCCGGGCATTCACGTATCTCGGCATTCCTCTTTGCTCCATCCCAGCTCGAAGGGCCATCACCATCATTGACCTTCCTTGGTATTGTCCTAGACTGCGAGCGCCACGAAGCTTGGCTACCAGAGGACAAGCTGTCCGAAACGCATGCGCCACTCATGGCTACTATCAGCGAGCGAAGCATCGGCCAGCGTCAACTCGAGTCCCTCCTGGGGAAGCTCACTTTTGCTGCCCGAGTCATCGTTCCTGGACACACATTCATGCGTGAACTATGATCAGCGTGCCCTGAACTGTATCTGTGTATGCGAATGCGGTGCATAAAGCCCACCTTGAGAATGGGTTTGCCGGCCCCTTAGTAGATGCGTGGCTTCTGAAGAGGGTGTTGAAGGGCATCCAGCGATGCCATGGTACGGCTGTACTCACCCCTCGCCTTCCTATAACTATGCCAATCCTACGACACCTGACGGATGCACGCCGGAAAAGTAGTATCTTGAATGGCCATGACAAGCTGCTCTACCAAGCCGCCATGCTGCTTCTGTGGATTTCTTCGGTGTGCCGAATTCACTAATGGCATCACACGGGGCTGTACTAGCTCCCCTGGTGACGGACGCCTGCAACTCTTCCTGCTTTCATCCAAGACGGACCCATTCGGTAAAGGCGTTACTAGTAACATTGGCCCGTCTGTACCGCCGTACTGACCGGTCCGTGCCATTGTTAGCTACCCATTTGTCACTCGTCGCGAGGGACCGGAGCAACCCTTGTTCGTACTCTCGAACACACAGCAGCTGACCAGGCAGTCATTAACAGTAACAGTATGTTCTCTTGTCGCTGCGGCCGGCATACCATCCCAGTCGAACTACTCCGGGCATTCAGTCCACATTGGCGCAGCCACCACCGCTGCCATGGCTAGTGCCCCCGACTCCTTCTTCCGAGCGATGCGTGTCTATGCTACATCCGGACTACAACAAGCGCTAAGCGCCAGCTATCGTCCCGGCTTGCTGCCGTGAAATGGATGCCATGATCCCCAACTCGGGTGAGTAATGAGCTACTGAACTCTAGCTGCGCAATGCTTGCCTGTGCTGACATTAATTGACCCTTCCTGTGCGTCAATAGTGCTTAGCTAACGGAGTGCTGGTTTCATGGTTCCACTCTCACAACTGGTGTTATCTAGCTATTTGCTGCGGCTCTGCCTTGCGCTATATTACATCCATTTAGCATTGCAGCTCTACGTTGAGCTAACAGCAGCTCTACTTTGAGCTAACCGCAGCTCTACTTTGAGCTAACAGCAGCTCTACTTTGAGCTAACCGCAGCTCTACTTTGAGCTAACAGCAGCTCTACTTTGAGCTAACTGCAGCTCTACTTTGAGCTAACCGCAGCTCTACTTTGAGCTAACAGCAGCTCTACTTTGAGCTAACAGCAGCTCTACTTTGAGCTAACAGCAGCTCTACTTTGAGCTAACCGCAGCTCTACTTTGAGCTAACAGCAGCTCTACTTTGAGCTAATCGCAGCTCTACTTTGAGCTAACAGCAGCTCTAATTTGAGCTAACAGCAGCTCTACTTTGAGCTAACCGCAGCTCTACTTTGAGCTAGCCGCAGCTCTACTTTGAGCTAACAGCAGCTCTTCTTTGAGGTAACAGCAGCTCTGCTCTGAGCTAACAGCAGCTCTGCTCTGAGCTAACACCAGCTCTACTTTGAGCTTCAAACCAGTTGTTTCGAAACCAGCACTCCTCAATCCAAAGATGCCTCTTTGTTGACTTGTTTGTGTGAGGGATGGGACTAAATACTTACATATAAAATTTTTATGTAGCCACTATGTGCCTGAAGTATAGGGTGATCATATATCACTTGTTCAATCCCCGGACCTTGCTAGCTATTTCTAAGTATTGCTTCTGTTGCTGTCGACGTTTGATTGTCTTCCTGATCTCTTTATTTGAAAAATTCACAGTTGTCTACAATCCTCGTTGTCTACGAAACTCTGAGTAACGGCAGAAAAGGACTTTGTCGTGTCATTGGACTCATTGCTGTGTGAGGATTGTATTTACGTTTAAGGCGGATTCAGTATTCATGTGAGAGGTGCGATCTGACCGAAATTTCCACATCCGCTGGAACGATGCAAACCTCTGGGTTTAACGCGCAGATGCAGCTCCTATAGTGGAGGGAGATGAGAAGATCAGACCCACCACAAACTGACCAAGTGGTAGTCAAAGACCGAAACTCCCAGTCAATGTATCCATGTATCCTCTAGCTTGTTTCAGGCCACGAACTCCCCCCCCCCCCCGCCACTGGTCAAGTCGGGCACACATAGTGGCATGATTTGACACATCAGATCAAATTGCAGGATCAGTTGTCAGGCACTGTTCCTTGCTCTCGCGGTGTTCCGCAGGGCAGTGTCTTAGGCCCACTCCTCTTTGTTATTTACACTGCTGACGCCAAGTCAACGATGCCTCCGGATGTGGCAGATCAGGAATTCGCTGATGACATCGCTCTCGACTGCTCCAACGCGTGTCCCAAGCAAGTTTGCAAGTCTCTGTCGTCTGCAGTGACCAACCTCACCAACTGGCTAGATGATATCGGCCTACTTCTGAATGCCCAGAAAACCCAAGTTCTGTTTGTAAAGCCAAGAGGCAGTGCTGATGTTCAAGAACATGTACGTTGTCGAGGACAACCCCTGGAAGCAACAACATCTGCAAAATACCTGGGTGTTGTAATCGACAATGACCTCTCCTGGCAGCCACATATCAGCCATGTCACACGCAAGATCGGGCCAGTAATTGGTCAGCTATGGCGACACGGCAGGTCCCTGAGCCTAAGAGCCCGCCAGGTCTGGTATGTCAGCATGATACAGGCTCATCTGTCTTATGGATCCAACTGTTTCTTCTCCAGTCTTTCAAAGCAGCTCCTGGATAAACTCCACCGCCTGTCAAAATCCGGTGTCAGAGCGACCCTGCAGCAAAGGACTCTGGTCCTAACTGCCCCCCTTTCTCGAGCTATTGGGTGTGCCAAGCTTGCCACAGCTTCTCTTCCAGAAGCTTGCCATCTTCATTTTCAAATGTTTAAATGACAAGACAAGTCCCCTGTTAAAGAATCTGTTTGTGCCGTTCAACGACCCTGCCACACCTCAGCTGAGGACGACACGGGGTCAAGTGTCAAGCCTGCTGAGAGTTCCATTCCTCCCAGGTCCCGCTGGACGTCGTTCAATTCAGTTTGTTGGCAGCATTCTGTGGAATGCTCTCCCAGTTGCAGTCCGTACGGAAGGCGATTGGCGGACATTTAAAGCTCTTGCCGCGGCTCTCGACTTGCCCAGCCTTTACCCATATTAACATTTTGTGTACCTAACTTCATGTCGAAATCCATTTTAACAATCCGCATATCTCCCCCCTCTTTGTGTCTCTGTCTCTGACACACACACACACTCTCTCTCTTGTTGTTGTTGTTGTTGTTGTTGTTGTTGTTGTTGTTGTTGTTGTTGTTGTTGTTGTTGTTGTTGTTGTTGTTGTTGTTGTTGTTGTTGTTGTTGTTGTTGTTGTTGTTGTTGTTGTTGTTGTTGTTGTTGTTGTTGTTGTTGTTGTTGTTGTTGTTGTTGTTGTTGTTGTTGTTGTTGTTGTTGTTGTTGTTGTTGTTGTTGTTGTTGTTGTTGTTGTTGTTGTTGTTGTTGTTGTTGTTGTTGTTGTTGTTGTTGTTGTTGTTGTTGTTGTTGTTGTTGTTGTTGTTGTTGTTGTTGTTGTTGTTGTTGTTGTTGTTGTTGTTGTTGTTGTTGTTGTTGTTGTTGTTGTTGTTGTTGTTGTTGTTGTTGTTGTTGTTGTTGTTGTTGTTGTTGTTGTTGTTGTTGTTGTTGTTGTTGTTGTTGTTGTTGTTGTTGTTGTTGTTGTTGTTGTTGTTGTTGTTGTTGTTGTTGTTGTTGTTGTTGTTGTTGTTGTTGTTGTTGTTGTTGTTGTTGTTGTTGTTGTTGTTGTTGTTGTTGTTGTTGTTGTTGTTGTTGTTGTTGTTGTTGTTGTTGTTGTTGTTGTTGTTGTTGTTGTTGTTGTTGTTGTTGTTGTTGTTGTTGTTGTTGTTGTTGTTGTTGTTGTTGTTGTTGTTGTTGTTGTTGTTGTTGTTGTTGTTGTTGTTGTTGTTGTTGTTGTTGTTGTTGTTGTTGTTGTTGTTGTTGTTGTTGTTGTTGTTGTTGTTGTTGTTGTTGTTGTTGTTGTTGTTGTTGTTGTTGTTGTTGTTGTTGTTGTTGTTGTTGTTGTTGTTGTTGTTGTTGTTGTTGTTGTTGTTGTTGTTGTTGTTGTTGTTGTTGTTGTTGTTGTTGTTGTTGTTGTTGTTGTTGTTGTTGTTGTTGTTGTTTGTTGTTCGTTGTTTGTTGTTCATTGTTCGTTGTTTGTTGTTGTTAATAGTGTAAGAAAGGAGAAAGAGTGAGTTGTTGTTGTTGTTGTTGTTGTTGTTGTTGTTGTTGTTGTTGTTGTAGTTGTTGTTGTTGTTGTTGTTGTTGTTGTTGTTGTTGTTGTTGTTTGTTGTTTGTTGTTTGTTGTTTGTTGTTTGTTGTTTGTTGTTCGTTGTTTGTTGTTTGTTGTTCGTTGTTCGTTGTTTGTTGTTGTTGTTCGTTGTTTGTTGTTGTTGTAGTTGTTGTTGTTGTTGTTGTTGTTGTTGTTGTTGTTGTTGTTGTTTGTTGTTTGTTGTTCGTTGTTCGTTGTTTGTTGTTGTTGTTGTAGTTGTTGTTGTTGTTGCTGCTGCTGCTGCTGTCGTTGTTGTTGTTGTTGCTGCTGTTGGTCATTTTGTGACAGTTTGTAGAATTCCCTTGTCCAGGTAGTAAAGCCGCCCCTCTCTCCCTCTCTCTATTGTTGTTGCTGTTGTTGTGGTCTGTTGTTGTTGTTGTTGTTGTTGTTGTTGTTGTTGTTGTTGTTGTTGTTGTTGTTGTTGTTGTTGTTGTTGTTGTTGTTGTTGTTGCTGTCGTCGTTGTTGTTGCTGTTGTTGTTGCCGTTGCTGTTGTTGGTCATTTTGTGAGGGCTTGGACAATTCACTTGTCCAGGCAATAAAGTCTCTGTATCTCTCCTCTCTCTTTCTCTCTTCCCTCTCTCTTTCTCTCTATCTCTCTCTCTCTATCCATCTTTCTATCTATCTATCCTCTCTCATCCTGCATGCGTCACACTCTCAGGGAATTTTCTCTTATAAGATTGCATGCTTCACACTCTCATGTAATATGTCTCTCCTTTCTTCGTCTTTTTGTGAGAGCTTGGACGATCCACTTGTCCAGGCAAGAAGGCAGCAATGCCTGTTCATTCTGGTGAAGTAAAATAAAATATACCAACCAACACCATGGCTAAGAGACTTATAGTACCACGATCGCCTTGATGAAGCGATTGGACGTTTCGGTCTTTAAATCATGCACGTTTTGATGGGTCAGGTGTACTCGCCTCCCACCTTTCTAGGAGCTAAACATTATAAGAATTATAAACTGCAAAATTAGTAATCCAATATTAAAACCTTCCAAGTTGGAAGGTTGTTGGTCTGCGAATTCCAAGATGTGATGCAGCTAAGAATCAAGTCGTTGAATGTCAATAACTGATCAGTCAGGGTTGTGCTAATCATTGCACGTTCTGACTCTCCAGCCAGTACCCTGCTTATAATTCTTAGTGTTGGACAAAACACGCATAACTTGTAAACCTTCGACCCTCTCTATTAATCCTTGCCTCTCCAGACGAGTCTGATTTGCACAGATAATATGTCGCAGATATTACAGGGCGAAATGCAGTAAGCTGACAAGACGTGAATGCAGTGCGTTAGTTCTCGGTTTCAGTGTTGTATATACTTGGTCCGACTTATTAAAATGTGCGCTTCGCTTCAAAACTCAAGCCTATGTCCAAAGGAGCACCTGTACTAAAAAATCGACCAAGAGACGATAGATAGATAACTACTGTGTCGTTTCTTCGCCTGACCTTCTAGTTTCCATCTCTGCTGGTGTCTCAGGGCGCTTCTTCAAGTGCGTCAACCTGCAAAACGTCGACATTTTTTTCATCTCCTCCAAGCTACACTGCGCTTCCTTGATTTTTTCACTCCATAGGCACGATTTAGACGATCGACTTCGCCTCCTCCTCGTGCAGTACGATTGCCAGAATGGTGGCTGTAGGTGTTTTCGCCTGACGCTCCCACGACACCTTCAAATGAGGCGAACAAGTAAACCACCACGCATAAAAAATCACTTCAAGGCTCATCACCGTGTGCCGCGCGCGTAGAACTAGTACTGAGTCTGATCTGTGTCGACATGACTGTCACACAGTCAGCTGCATCGGACCATGCGTGCTCTTCCCTGCCTGTTTCACGAATCCACTGGCCCGGGAGACTGGCGATCTTGTGACGCATCGATCGCGATCGCGGCTCCCAGGAGTCGGCGAGGACTCCGCACCATTCACGCACCGTATTCACCCTTTCTGCGCTTCAGGTTTCCAGCCAGGTTGTCGCCTGAAAGTCGACCTCAAGGGCGGTTGTTTATATCGATCAACTTACTTCTCGACGATCTCTTCTGTGATCTTGATTCGTCGGCCGCCACATCGTGAACGAATGCGAGAGAGATCAGCACAAACTGGACGGAGCGATGCAGGTGCTTTCTGCACGAGTTTCTGGATGACGCGTTTGCTGAACTTACTTGATTCTTCCAAGGAAACAGCGACTGCAGCGATTTCAATCCGCCAGGAAGCACTCGAGAACGATCGCCCAGGAGTTTCTGGTACTCCGTGACAATTCCCCATCGCAGTGGGGTGTTGATTTCAGCACCAGGCCTTCTCTGTGTTGCGCAAGAAGCAACAGGAGTCCTCTGACGACAAAATTTGCACGCAAAATTCTCGAGTCGACTAGGATCCTGAGGCGCTGCCTCCTTTGGGGTTGGAGCCATTTCTTCTTCAACATTACAAATCGACAACTGAAGGATAGTGTTAGGTAGCTGGATAGTTTGTTCCGTCCTGAGATTATTTGAATTGGTTTTGCTGACGTTCGAAGCGAAACGCACATTTTAATAAGTCGGACCAAGTATAAAGCAAGTCAATACTCTGGCCAAGCAGGATGATTGCACGAATGCTTCTATTGAGTAATTCATACATAGTCATGTACATGTCGATTCCACTCCATCCAGAACAACAAATGCTGGTGGAATGTGCTATCATTCAAGGGGAAACTACTTTTTCTTGAATGTAGGGTGGAGCATATTTCTCGCACAAACAAGCTGGAAGGTGATCTCCTTGGATCAACAGCACCAAAGCTTTCTGAACAACCCTTCAAGCAAGAAGCTAGATTGGAATGTATGGATAGTGTATGTACGTACATATGACCGTAGGCTTTGCCTTCTGTAATGGGTATGTGTTGTGAGCAATGACAGCAGATGTATGTGTAGATGTAACAATATTTGTGGGTTTGTGGACAGGCGGGTACATGTAGGTACATGTCGATACAACTACAAGGTTTCTTGTTAGCCACATCTACGTGGTCTTCCTAATGAAATGGGCGCCAGTGCGTTATGGCATGAGAGCGGAAGCGTAAACCGTTCTCCGCGCCACCAGAAGCCTATCGCCTTTCACCAGAAAAGGCCAGAACGCTTAACCCTTTGAGAGCCGATTGACAATTTCAAAATTCTGCATATTTTCATGTTCTTTGGGACGTAACTTTTAAGAGCGTAGAGGGTTTGTTTGTTTCTTCTCCACTTTACCTGTATCATCCTATCTGAGTTACACAAATACATGTACAGTTCTGAATGGCTAAACATTATACCATTTATACGTGTGGTCAAAGTGCTTCACAACGGTCATGATACTCAAGGTGATCATGACAAGAAGAGGAGGGAGAAACTTAAAAGTGTTGTACGACTCTGCGTTTAACGCACAAGTAGACGATCATCAGATAACAGGTCAATCTGAAAACCTTTTTCATGGGCAAAACAAACACAATGGATTAATGCTTCACAAAACTGGTGAAGAAATCAGGTTAAAGTTTATCATAATCATGCTTTGATATAGACAGGAAGGTGAATCCAGTTGGCCGTCCACAGATTACGAATATAGAACATAGAAATCGCGCAACCCAAGTACCCCTCTCTCAACAAGAGGAGTGAATTTGTGTCAAAGTGTCGCCATGAGAACAAGTACTAACTTGTGAACTTCAAATCATCCACAGGCTTTACCTAATCAAGTAGGAGACAACCAGCGCCTGTCACTTGAAGTGATACCTTTCACCACTGCTGTCATTGGCATGTTTAGATTTGCGCCATGATGCAGTCATTTACACTTTGCTTTGTGGGTATATAAACCAGTACTGATCCAGATTTACTCATTTAATACTGTATTCTGATGATCGCTTTAATTAGGGCGTGAAACTCAGAGTTAAAACATTGTTTTCCGTCATCTTACTGTGGTTAAACTAGCTCTGCCTCTCGGTATTGAGCACACTCTTGGACAGCCTGGAACCTCTCTGTTTTATCCTTGTAGTGTGCAAGTCCAGCATTCCCGGTTTGGAGTGCTTGAATCTCCTTGATTTGGGTTGCCTACCGGCCACAAACTTCAATAGCTACTAGGAGTGTGTGCAATGCGTAGATTTCGGTTTCAGTGCTGTAAGCTTATAAGGCAAGTCAATATTCTGGTGGAGCACGATGTTTCCAAGAACGAATTTTCATGCCTGCTGCCTCTGCTCCACGCAGACCAACAGGTGCTGGTAGAATGCGCTACCATACAGGTGGGTGGGGGAATTGATTTCTCTTGAACGTAGGGTGGCGCATGTTTATAGCACAACCAAGCTGGAAGGTGATCTCGAAATACCCAGTAAAGTGCCTTCAGGACAAACTTTCAGAGAAGAATACAGATTGGTGTACATGTATGTACGGACAGCATACATGTTAATGTTCATGTATGTGTGAGTTTTCCGTATGTTTAAAAAAAACATGTCTGACTTGTGCCTTCTGCGGTGCGAACTCGTTATGAGCAATTCAGATGTGGATGCAGATGTATGCGTGCACTATAGGTAAGTGTGGAGAGAGGCAGGGACATAGATAGGGTCTGTTGATAGGAAGGCAGATATGGGAGCAATCCTCTTTTAAGGTATGGTGCGTTCTAACATTGAACGGGCACCATGGCCAAACTCAGCAGATGATTGCCAAGGCGTTATCCGTTGTTCACATCATCTTTCCCCATAAGAGCAAACTCCTTTAGAACGGCAGAGGTGACCGTGTTGCTCGACGGTGATTCTTCTTCGCTTCATCCGGTTCATCACATCGGAGTTACGTGGATACAATCTAAAACGGCAGAACACAATCTACATGTACCTTTACATGTACGTGTGGCCACAGTGCCACCTACATGTATATGA